AAAATGAGAAGTATGATAAAAAAAAATAAGTGATTCTCTACAGGATAGTGTAGCCAGAATATATAATATTAATGTTTGAGTACTTTTATATCTGAAAAATATATTCCGAATTTGGCTCCCTATTCTTTAACATTAACCGAAGATAGCCTTAATGACACATGCATTTCAAGATGAATTTCTGGAATATTTAAAAGTTCAACCCACTTTGGACTTCAAAACTGCACATTCTGTCGCCTGTAAGGATGCAATAAATGAATAAAAATTCTCAGTATTCAGTCTGTTATCTGCTCTTTGTGAACAGGTGTGAAGGTCGGTTGTACTGAAGGTCGCAAATGCCTTCCCTCCCTAGTTTTGCCCTTTTTCCAACAATGACGTGAGGGGAACTCGACCCCTCTTTTACCTTTTCACTGATAGTTTCCTCGAGAATATTCAACACAAAATTTTATCGTAAACTAAAGTCTCATTCTGTTCTGGTAACCAGCTGCAGTAAGCTGAGATTTTAAGTAGCAGAGCTGTTACGTGCGATACTCTGACGATAGTTATAGAAGAATAAACCCGAACTCGAGTTCGGAGGTTTCTTCTTACGCCTAACTTAGCTTTTGAAAAGAAAACTTGTACGTGTGTGTGTGTTTTTACTTTTGTTGTTCTACCGAACATCACCTACGAAGAAATACTTAATACGTTGCGCTTCATTTCGCTTTTCGGGAGTGTGCGAATAAGTGCAGCATCTAATTTACTTTGTAAGCAAATCACCTTTTGTTCTCAACATCAGAAAAAACAGGAAGCGCTCGACTGATTCGAAAGTCGTTTTTCTCCAGCGAAAATCGCGTGTCTAATATGACCCGTTAGATCAGACGGAAAAGTTGAACTACCGAAAAAAAAGCAAAATAAAAATAAAAACACAGAACAAGTAAGAATAAATGTGCACAACCCATGTCTGGAAGAAGGTATGTGAATAAAACTAACATCGAAGAAAACCTAAAAGAAGAAACGGAGAAAAAAGTCATCAAGATCAGCGGATCTTTTGTTTGATGTGAAACTCAAGACGCAGGTTCTGTAGACAGAACGGAAACATTTGAGATACAATATAATGAATCTCGACTATTTTGTAAACTGAATACATGATGCTCATTATTCATCGAGAATGATACGGATGATAAAAGTAGCAGATATACTCCACTTCCTGTTCCTTTGGTGTGCAAGTCATGTATATTCTGGTAAGCGATTCTTATTTTGCTGAATTTTTTTGTTCGAATGATCGGAGTTTTTTTCATAGTAATTGTTATTAAATATTTATGATTTAGAATGCTGCATTTCAACAACATTAGTTTTAACAAAGTTTGGATTATTCTGTTAAATTTTTAAATAATCGTAAATGGCTAGTTATAGAATAGACCATATAAAGATAAATCTTTTCAGATTTCAAACTATCAAAAATATTAAGATATGGTTAGATACCAAAATTTACAAACTTTTACGATAAAAATAGTTATTAAATCTATTAGTCATACAAATGATTTGATCATTAAAAAAAACAGTTTTAAGATGTAACCTTAGAATTGAATGCTTTAATCGGCAAATTAAAATAAATTTACTGGATGCTGAAAATGTTTAATATAAACAATCTGAAACATTTTACGTGTATTGTATGTATTGTATGCATTATTGTTTAAGTTTTTTGAATACACATGCCGGAAGTATTGGTTTCTGAATTATATATCTGTTTCTAATTCTAATTTTTTACATCGCTGATTTTTTAAATAAAATATCACAGTTAGCATACCATCTTTTGTTTCCAAAAAATATTATTGAAAAGGTTAAACAGTCTTCTGTATTAAGAAAGTACCTGCTGATTGGATGGTTTACTTTTTCTGTTTTGGAATGCGTAATCAGGCGGAACAAAAGTAATGGATAAGTTTTAGATTAAACTTCATTTTTATTCAAGAGTTTAAGATTCTTATTCTCGTGAAAATAATGATTTAGTATTTTATGGGGTCAATGAACTTGTCCTTTATCTAGATGGATAACTAAAATATTTTACATTACATTGCTTACGAAAATTCAAGGGAATTAGCATTCGTATATTTTAGTTATTAAAACTAAATTTAGTTTACATGCTAAAATATTAATGAAATTTTAATTTGTCATAAAAAAAACACCAAATTAGCCTTACCATATACCTCAAACATTCAGCACATTTTACCTTTTCCTCACATATGTCCTCCAAGCTGTATAATGGGAATACAGAGTTTACTTCATTTTTCAACCAAAAATGAAAGGTTTCATGAAAATGACTTAAGGCTATGATTGAAATTTTGAAGGATTTAACCTCCAAGTGATAAAAAGACAATTCGTAAATAAATTCGGTTATTGACCTGTTAGTTGAAAAATGACCCACTGCATTTCCAGTTATATGGTAGAATTCCGTTCTGGTGTTAAAGCAATTTAATTTAATCGATGGAGGAAACAGTTCAAATGAAAAGCAGAAGTTTCTCCTCTAGGTATTTTAAAGAAAATTTCACAATTTTCTACTAGATTTCTGCTTGGCACTAAAAACAAGTGTTAAAAGGCTTAACAACTTTATCAGCAATTTCATTTCCGATTACAAAACTATAAATCAAGTAAAATTGATTTTAAGAGGATTTGTCTTTTAAACGATTTTTAAAAATCAAATTATCATTACTGATCTTTTATATATTTTAATGTTTGATTTAAGTTTCTAGAATTTCCATTTGCATAATTGAGCTAACCTTAAACGAGAATTTCTAATTTCCTTCATTTCGTTTCTTCACGTCACAGGGATATGGATCTAGAAAAGATCCTAAATCCCCTATCTGAAATTGTATTTTTGCGCTAACAAGTGGGGTGGGAGTCCTGGATGGGAAAACAAAGATCATTGAGTTTGTAGATTTTCTAATTTCCTCTAATAAGAAAGGTTTAATAGTTCTAAGGCATTAAATATTTCCAGAGTACAGATTCTATACTCAATTTTGCTAACGCAGGTTTAAAAATATAATTGAAAAAAAAAATATTGTCAAACATACTTAAGCCGATGCTCAACTGGAATGATTCAAAAATATCTAATGAATTTTAAATTTTTTGAAACACTTGATTTAATATAGTATATGTAAATAGGAAACTGTTTTAAACTCGCAAAAGTATTAATATTAAACAACAATATAACTGAAGCTGAGAAACATTCAATTATAAAGATTTGAGCATCATGGGGAGGGGACGCATTCCCTATAACGAAACGTCACTATATCTCTATACAATAACTTTCAATGTATTCATATTTTGGGCTTTGTCCCATGCATCTAACTCCTGTTGCTGATAAGTGGCCGCGGTAGCCTAATGGTCAAGGTAACGAACTCATGGTCGGAGTGTCATAAGTTCGAGCCTGTACCGCCGAAGCCCCGCTACATAGAGGGGGCTGATGCACGTTAAATATAGGGCTGCGGTAGCCCAGTAATCAAGGTATCGGATCATGGCAGGCATGCATGAGTTCGAACCCAGTACCACTAAAGACCCGCCGTGTAGGGCAGCAATGCACGTTAAATCTGTCCAGAGCTGAAACGTCATCCCGTTGGGGTGCCAACTCAGGTGTCGTCCTCGTCACTTGACCACGGTTCAAAAATACGAGGTCCATCACCAAAAGCCCTCAAGTAGCTAAATAATGCGACGTAGATATTCACTCACTCACCCTGTTGCTATTTAAAAGCATTGCCAGTAAGATATATAAATAAACTAATTATTTATTAAAATTCTATATTGAGAAAGTAAATTATGAAGCATTTGTGACACTAAGGTTTTTAGTTTCTGAATTAAAACAACTTCATCTGCACAAGAGCTATTGTTGGTCTTTTAATTTCAAACCACTAATAAGTGATGTATCATCTTACCTTTAAAAAAAATGGCTTTTAATTTAATATCGTAAAAGTTCCTTTAGAGACTATAAAAGAAAATTTTACAATACAAGTGGGAAAAATTTTGAAAAACTGATCTGGGAAATTTTAACGAGTTTCAGCTTAAGAACCTAGATTTAATATCAAAAATCGGATCGAATTATTAAGAAACATTCAAATTTTGTCGGCTTAGAATTCTATGAATTAAATCCATATGCTTTGTATGTAAAGATACATTACTGTGAGGTCACATTTAGTTTATTTGCATAGGCAAAAAAAAAAAAAAAAAACCTGAGGTGAACTTTGAATCACTTACAATCAAATTAATATAAAAGTGAGGTCAATGACTGCAGAGAATAGAAATAGTAAAAATGTATAGAATTTCTATGCGCTCCTACCAATTAAATCTAATTGAGCATTTGACCGTAAAGGGACTTTCTCCAATTTTAGTTGTATAGTTCAATTGATATAAGTAACACGATACCACGAAGTGCGAACTTCTCATTTGGCCCAGGAATAAAATCAATCAGATGAAAATTAATCACGCAGTAATTTTGGCTTTTATCTCAATGCAATTGTTCTACTAAACGGGGCCACCTGCCACTTTAGTATAGAATAGTCTTTCAATGCCTGTGTTTTTTAAACCATTGTAATTTAATGAGTGTAGTATAATTTTAATGTCAAACCATATAACGAGCCTCTATTTTGCGAACTTTTTCCTGGAACCAAGAACATTTTACTGTTCTCTTCGTAAAATAACCTCCAAATAGCGAAGTGCTTTTTCTGTTTAATGAATATTTTCTCTTATGAATCATTTTTTTTTTTTGCTCCTTTTTTTTAATTCCTACTATTAGTTCACACGCTCCCTATACATATTTATATATCTCGTTCAAATTTTCGATCGACAATAAAATACTTTCTACTCATGCATTCAAGTTCAAATACATTTTTTAAAACTTGTAGTGGATGACACTTAATGTTAATACAGTTTTTTCAAATATTAATTCATTAATTAAGTTTTAAAAAATGAATAAATAGAAACAAAAATAATAGTCCAACAGCATATATAGAAAGGAAAATAAAATCGTTCGTTGTGTCCCTGTAGCGATATGGCTTGCGCGTTGGACTTTTAATCCAAAGGTCGTGGGTTCGAATCCCACCTGGGATAACCTAATTTCAGAGAATGTAATTCCTTTTTTTACCGTACTATTTTATTAGAATAATTAAATTCAATTATGAATAAATAAGCACAAAAAAAATAGTCCAATACCCTATACAGAAAGGAAAATGGAAAATTGCAAGGAAAATCGCTTTCTATTTCGTCACTTCATACTGTGATTCTGTCATATGTATATACATATTTATATTAAATGTAATTATTTAATAAAAAGTAAATAAAATAATTTTCTTTGTTGACCTAAATAAGAATTGTCTTAAATTTTTATATAAATATATATTGTTTAAAATATATCTGGATATTTTTCAAATTATCTCTTTTGGCACATTTTAGGGTAATCAATGGCCTTGAACTGGTTTTATCAGGTACCTAACTTACCTAGAGCAATGAAATTCAGTAATTAAATTTAAGGACACATGGTGGTAGTGTATGCTTAAAATTATTGGTAATAAAATAATGTATGTTTATAATTACTTGTGTGCAGACTTAAAATCAGAAAACGTCGCTAAAAATTCATTAATTTTAATATAATTTTTTTTTTTATAAAAAAATTTGAAAATATATACAGTTATTCCTAAACAATTTGTTTTTTTTTTCCTTGTTCTTGAGGATTTCTTTTTGATGTGGGCAAAATATATTAAATGAATAGATGAAAATTATCAAAAAAAGTATGAATGATTACTTTTTTAAAATAATATTTAGTGTTTATATGAATTTAAAGTTTGTTTTATGGGGTCTCTAAAGCATATTAAAAGATGAGTCTCAATTTAACGAATTTTCTATATAATGAACTTTTTTCGGGATTTAGCTACATTGTTAAATAGAGGCCCGACTGTAATATTATATCTTTTCGCTTTTTTTTTCCCAAGTCGATTAGGTGATCGCAGTAGCCTAGTGGTCAAGGTAACGGACTCGTGACTGGCGTGTCATGAGTTCGAACCTAGTACCGCTGAAGAACCACTGTCCAGAGGGAGGCGAGTGGCCGCGGTAGCCGAGTGGTATAGGTATCGGACCGTGGCTTGCTTTGTCACGAGTTCGAGCCCAGTACCACTAAAGACCCGCCGTGTAGGGCAGCGATGCACGTTAAATCTGTCGAGAGCTGAAACGTCCTCCCGTTGGTGTGGTGTGGTAGTTAGGAGAGGGGGGGTTCCAGCTCAGGTGTCGTCCACGTCACTTGACCATGGTTCAAAATTACGTGGTCCGTCGCCAAAAGCCCTCGTGTAGCTGAATAGTACGACATTAATATTCACCTACTCTAAATCGATTAGTAGGCGAGTGGTTAAGGTCATGAGCTCGTACCTGATGGGTTATGAGTTCAAGTCCTGATGCCACTCGACCCACTGCATATAGGGGATGATGCACGATAAATCTGTCATGGTTCAAGGCCTTCCCACTGGTGGAGTGAATGTTTGGAGGGAGGGTGCCTGCTCAGGTGTCGTTCTCGTCAAAAGCTATTCTATTGCTTCATGGTGCGGTGTAAATTAAAAATCAACTCAAAGTTGACTATTCTTATCGCTAATAACCCAGTAATTTTAATGACATACAACGGAATTTTTTATACGTTTTACATTACAAGTGAAAGAAGAAAAAATTATAATTTAAATTTTAAGTTAAACTAAAATGATTCTTAATCACTTATGACACTTGTTAAGAATATTACATAAAGAAAATTGGATAATTATGAAGGGGGAAAAATATATCGTTTAATTTTTTATAATGCAGCCCTCTAAAGCAGTGCACTAAGTGATTCTCAAACTTTCAATACTGGCGCCCCCTTTTCAATCACAATTTTTATCGTGCCCCCCCTTATACATAATAATTTACTGAATGCAATAATAATGCACTTTTACGATAAAGCAACAATATTTATTATAAACCGTACAAATTCATGACATAAGTATTAAATTTTGTATATGTTACTTTTAAGCAAAAAAAAGCTAAGTAATAGGATAATTACTAAGTTATTTTTCCTCTTTCTCTGATTTTTAAATTGGAACATATTACAAAATGCGGTGGTTGCTTAGAAGACAAAATATAGATATCAGCTAAATATAGAAAATGAACTCAGAGGGTCAATTTCTTATCTTAAAACTCCTTTCAAAAACTTTGCTCTGTAAGACAAGCCCATGGAAGTAGCTAATAATTATTAAACTTGTTCTTAATTTAGTATTAATTAATTAGTCATAAAATACTCTGTGCACCACTCATACATTAAAAGCAGTGTTTCTCAAACTTTCAATACTGGTGACCCAATTTTCAATCATAATTTTTGTCTCGCCCCCTGTACAACAATAATGTATTTACTGCAATAAAAATGCACTTTGAGAGAGAGACGCTAAAGTTACAATACGATCTTAATTATAAACCGTACAAATTAATACAATAAGTATATTAAATTTTGTGTATATGTAACTTTTAAGTAATATATATTTTAGGAAAATTACTTAAAATATATATTACTTAGAATTATGTTATTTTTCTTTCTCTAATTTTTAAATTGGAACAGATCGCAAAATGATGCATTTAATTAAAGATTTATTTCCTTCAGCATTCATTTCTCAAAGTACAAATGTCATTAGAAAAATAGTCTAGTCAATGTCGCTCTCTATCATATCCATCACATCTGGCGTTATAGGGTACGTTTGCGTAAGTCTGGGCAACCTATCGGACGTCTGCGCAAAACATGTAAAAATGCTTTTCCTCGTACAATTCCAGTTAGTTTTGGTCGACTCGATACTCCTATAGCTACCGAATCTAGCTTGAATGTACATTTTTTTAAATTTCCACGTTAATTGTAATTCACGGTAATTAAGTATTTACGGCAGTAGATTAAAACAATATCATACATACATTTTTAAGTCGTAAGCAAACATTCGACCATGATAAAGAATCAACAAGTACACAGACGAACGAGCATGGTTCCGAAAATTAAATCAAGATTGATTGATTGATTGAATATTAACGTCGCACTGTTCAGCTACACGAGGGCTTTTGGCGACGGACCACGTAATTTTGAACCATGGTCAAGTGACGTGGACGACACCTGAGCTGGCACCCCCCTCTCCTAACTACCACACCACACCAACGGGAGGACGTTTCAGCTCTCGACAGATTTAACGTGCATCGCTGCCCTACACGGCGGGTCTTTAGTATTAAATCAAGGCGATCTTCTCAAAAATACTTAAATTTTGGATTTACCACTACTGAAGAAAATGATGGAGAAAAAAGCACCAGTTCGATCTGTGTTAAAACTTACATATCCGAAGAACAACATGTGAAAGTTGTTTTTAAAACATGTAAAATCATTTAGCTATGTTGGCAAAGAATTTTAAAAAGTATTTTCTGGATGAGGACAGCTTGGTAGCAAGTTACGAGTGGATTAGGGATCTATTTCAAGATACTCCAGAAGGGCTCTCAACTTCCGAAGAAGAAATCTTCATAGATTTCACATCCAGTGAAAAATTAAAAGGCAATTTTGTAATAAATCGCTCTTTGAATTTGGGGTAGAGGTGGATGAGGAATTATCTGTACTGAAAACAAAAGCACTTCGTATACTATTACCATTTTCAACATCCTACCTTTTTCAAACCGGATTTTCTGCTGTGGATGCCTTGAAGACAAAATATAGATCTCAGCTAAATATAGAAAAATAACTCTTTAAGTGTCAATTTCTGATATTAAACCTTTCTTTGAAAAACTTTCCTCTACAAGATAAGCCCGTGGAAGTCCCTAATAACTATTAAACTTGTTCTTAATTTAGTAATAAGATTGATTGATTGAATATTAACGTCGCACTGTTCAGCTGCACGAGGGCTTTTGACGACGGACCACGTAATTTTGAACCATGGTCAAGTGACGTGGATGACACCTGAGCAGGCACCCCTCTCTCCTAACTACCACACCACACCAACGGGAAAACGTTTCAACTCTCAACAGATTTAACGTGCATCGCTGCCCTACACGGCGGGTCTTTAGTGGTACTGGGCTCGAACTCGTGACAAGGCAAGCCACGATCCGATACCTATACCACTCGGCTACCGCGGCCAAATTCAGTAATAAGAAATTATTTATAAAATACCTTCTTCAGTACTGATACATCAAACGTATACTGGCTGAAACACCGACTCTTCGCACGAGTTCATTTTTTTTAAAAATAAAACATTATTCTTGATATAATAGCTGAACTGTAAGGAGAGTAAAACTGTGTGCACACGACATTGTATACAAAAATGTAAAATGATTTTTTTTTAGATAAATGCTATAATTGTAAATAACTGTTTAAAAGAGCTGCAATTTTAAACCTCACACAATTAGCATTTAGAATTAATGTTAAATTATGAAAAAGAATATAAAATTCCGATGAAAATAATTGTGTTACTTTTTAACATTTAAAGCGAGAAGACTTCAAAATGTTTTAACCCGGGAGCAGGCGCGTACTCGATACTAACATTAATGGCAGTGCGGGGGACTCAGTCACCCCAATCATTTGTTTAGAATTATTTTTACTGTACACGATACAAATCGGAATTCTAGTGAATATTTTAATTTATAGAAAGTATACTTACCTTCTTTCAAGGACTATTCAATTCTTTGATGATTTGAGAAAAATCCAATAAAACTGAACTAAAATGATTCAAAAGTACAAGACCATAATAAAGGACGCAAATCAGACACTTTTCAATTATCCTACAGAAATGTTAAACATCAATTCTTTTCCAAATATCGCAAAACTCAATAATAAACAATTTCCCTAAGCGAAAAGCAAACGCATAAAAGATGGGAGGGAACTAATATTGATAATAACCATACCATAAGATTGAAGGTCAATCAAATGATTAGCAAACGTACTATGCAGCCTGGCTGAAAAGTGAATCATGACTTTCTTTTCTTTTTCTACAACTAATGTACAGTATTTCAATAATAATTACAGTGGTGAATTGTTTATCTTAGAATTTTTCTCAGGGTCTGGGTTTCATTTTTTCTTTTAACGA